TTTAATTATGTTCATACTTGCCAATATTTTTTTTAATATTGGCAAAAGTAATTTGGTTCTCCAAATGAAACTGAAATAGGAAAAAAACAGAACTACTTGTTTGTTTTTTTGCTTAATTTTGGATGAATGAAGTACTTGTTGGTGGATGAAGCAGCATTTTATGTACATATTTTGGATAATGATCTTCCATTTTCTGATTAGTTCTTTATGAGCTGTGACAATTTATAAAAGCAACCAGCACAGAGTAAGAGGTTATTCTCCAATATAAATACCGAATGTAAGTTGTAAGTGCTTTCTTCTATGATCCAACTGCATATCCATAAATAGAGTCCAAAACTTGATTATCCAGTTATTTGATAGATATAATAATCCATTTTTCTTGCTATATTAATGAACTAAAGGACATCAAGTCAAAAGCCCATAGCTACAAAATAGTTGGAAGATGGGTTCTCCTGGTGAGAGAATTCAATCATATATATCAATATGGGAAAAAGGCAGGAGTACCTATAAAAGTTAATATATTTACCCTGCTTTACCCATAAAAGAATTTTACCCATTAAATAATTATAATTCCCTACTTGTCACGACCTAAAATCCAACTAGTCATGATAGCACCTAGACTAGTCCGCTAGGTAAGCTAATTGGCAACAATCCAATTCAAATGACATTTACTGAGAGAAATAATGATATACATCTGAACTTTTATATAAAGAATTCCCAAGGACTAGTGTTACAAATCATGAGCTTCTAAGATTTAGAGTTTACAAAGCTAGTATGAAATAAATACATAATCTGTTTGAAATATACATGAACAGATTAATAATTCTAAAGCCACCAAGAACAAAGGCAACTATGACTGGGATGCACGTATGTCTTCAATGCCAGCTCCGGCCATACACAACAACATCATCATCCAAAATTTGCACGCAAGGTGCAGAAGTGTAGTATGAGTACAACCGACCCCATGTACTCAATGAATAACAAACCTAACCTATGTTGAAAGCAATGACAAGCTTGGACAATGGTCAGAGTCCAACACCAATAGCCAACAACAACTCATAACAATATAATAAAAGTAGTACAAGAAATAACTCAAAGATATGATGCTCAGCTTGTTCACAGTTAGGAGAAATAAACATGATTTTCAAGAATAACAATAAAACCCAAATCTTTCATCGAAATTACCGAAATATGAGTAAGTCAGAAATCTTTGATTTCTCCTAAAAACTTTCAACAACAGGTAAGATGTTTAAATCTCAGATAGAATGAGGAAAGTACATCTCTATGCCTACATGATGCGCGTGTGAAGTCATGAATGTCACAATACCGTGTAGCATGAGGAAATGCTTCTCTATGCCTGTATGTCAAGTATACATGTCAATGAAATGCATCACAGTGATGAAATCATGTACTCACACTCTCATAGTACTCAATCTCACTGTCTCGCACTCCCACTCATCATGCTCAATCCCTCAGCACACTCAGTCACTCAGCACTGTACGGTGCCTGCTGCGGCGCGCAGCCCGATCCACATATAGCCATAAGGCTTGTTACGGTGTGCAACCCGATCCACATATATCCATAAGGCATGTTGCGGCGTGCAACTCGATCCACATTGAAAGTACAAGAGGAGGTGAATTGTCGATTTTTAATTTCTATATTCTAAGTAGTTGACTAGTTTACCAATTAGTCGACTAGAGATAAGACCAGAATAGTAATAATGCAGAATTAAAGTGCAAGAAATAAAAACACCAGGATTTTTATACTGATTCAGATTTAATGTGAATCCTACGTCCAGTCCCCTTGGGTTGCAAGGGTGATCTCTTTCAGTTGAAGTTTCTCGATTACAAGATGGTTGATGTAGCTTTACACCAACAACTTAGTCTCTATGCCACTTTTTCCTTTTTGATACAATGCTTTACTAATGTTTATCTCTTTTCTTCTCTCACTAATTGCACATCAGAACTAAAAAGAATTACAATGCTTGTTTGGAGTAGAACAAAAAGATTGATAATGGTTCGTTCAAAGTATATCTGCTTCAGGCCTAGAACGGATGTATATATACTTCGTGAGACCTTCTTGACTCTTGATTGACATGAATCTTGAGAGATTACAAACCCAATGGAGTTGATCCTTGAAATGAATCGTAAATTGATTCTTTCCAAGAATAAGGTCAGGTTTCCGTTGATCTTCCTTAATTTGTGGCCTTGACAAGCTTTTCTTCCGCTGGGCAGATCCTCTTGTTACTTGAGTGATTGACGATGGATTCCCTGATTTCGGGCTTTAACGATCTCCAGTATAGAGCTTTGAAATCTTGTTTTCCTTTGATTTTGGGGCTTTCCTATAATAGCTTCCGTCAATTATATATCAAATCATTGATTGATTCCTCTTCCGAATCTCCTCTGCTTCTTCCCTTTTCATCTCTAATCATTGATACATTTCCTTTTCTTTCATTCTAGAGCTCCCGTTGATGGGTTGTTTCCTTAGTCCATACGTGAGTGATAGGTAATCTTGATTCCTTTGTTAAAATCTCTTGTGATCCAGCACCAAACGTGATATATTATTTCATCATTGAAACTCATATTTAATAATCTCCCCCTTTTTGATGATGACAAAAAATATATAAACAACAGTTTACCTCCCTGTTGGCTTGCTCTGCTGTAGTCGACTTCATATGCTTTAGTCGACTCCCCCTCAACAAGTGCTGAATACTAGTAGCATATTGCTTCATATGCTTCTGTCGACGCCCCCTCAACAAGTGCTAGTATTTGTCCTGCAATGTATAACTATCTATTCTCCCCCTTTTTGGCATCAACAAAAAGCGGATATTCATATATATAATTTAGAATAAGTTAAAATAGGCAAATATTTGCAGATTATAGGCATGCAAAGGTTAGCAGAAGTAAAGAAAATATCCATTGACTGGTTATCCAGTCCAAAATAGCAAAAAAAACAAAAGATTATCTGAAACATCCACAACTAACAACGCAAGAAGTAAGTGAGAGTGAAAATCGCCTCCTTTAGACGCTCAAAGCTGGCATTAGCAGAAACTGTCACCCCATCAATCCTGTCATGTACTTCCTTGAAGGCTTTGACTGCGTTTTCTGCAAGTTTGAGAATTTTTACCCTTATCTTTGAAACATCGGACCCCGTCTCTTTGGACAAGGCATAGATGTCCCCAATAGTTGATTGAGTTTCACCAAGAAGATCTTTGATGATGGTCAGCTTGTTGTCAATGGCCGTTAATTTGTCTACAAGATCAGGATCACTTACACTATGATGGGAAACAAATACTTTGATCTTTGAATCGGGATAAACATTCATGACTTCACCTTCCTGTTTCTTCACCCAAGAACCCTTAACACACACATACCCCATACTAGTAAAGGCTCTAGAGTTGTAGGATTTTGAAATAGAAAGAAAGGGGTATTCTGAGATAGAGACGTTGTGGGCTTCCAAGAGTTGGGTGATAACCATACTATAGGGTAGACTAGTGGGGTCATCAACACTTTCAATCATGAAGTTTATGACCCATGAGGACAGTTTAACATTACGTTTGGTCACTAGACAATAGACAAGAAAGGTGTCTCATTGAGAGAAGGTGGAGAACGAGCCAGTGCGAGGAAGAATGGTAGTTACAACAATATGGGCCAGAACTCGAGTTTCAAAACTAACATCACTGGGACCTAATTGGTTATGAAGAAAATTAGATGGACACTCAGCTATACAATATTTTTCTTGATTAAAAAAAAGTTTCAAAATTATCAGGCCATGTATTATTTTGAAGAGAATGGGAAAGCCAGAGTACTTACACTGAAATATTGAGTCAAACATGGCACAATCAAGGACAATGTGTTTTCCTAGAGCTAGAGATTCTAACTTATAAGATTTTATAGAACGAAGATTGGCATAAAACATCCTCACTAAAGGTTCATAAACTTTTGGAGGGGGTACAAAGAGAAATTTTGACCATCCTTGAAAAACAAATAAATCTTTTACCTTATAATTGAGGGCCTCCGTGTCATCAAGATCGATTATTCTCCTGTGAGCAATGGGCTTATCTTTCAGAGCATCAAAGATATCTCTATTTGGGGTATCCCAGAAATTGAGGTCGGACTCTAGAGAACTTGAGAGGTCTACTTTAGATTTCTTGGGGGTAAAAGATTCAAGGGGGTCTTCCATGGGTCTTTTTCCAATATCGTTTTCTCCAAGAGAGTGGTCAGATGGTTCTGCCTGAGAAGAGGCAAACCCATCTGAGTGGTCAGACCCTAGGTCTACTTGTTCTGGAGGCTGAGAAGAGGTTTTTCCCTTAGAACGAGTACTTTTTCTTGTGGAGGCAGTGGGATTCTTGGAGTGTTTAGCCATTGGAGAATTTTTTGAAGAAGGGTTTCTTAGCGATAAGAACAATGAAGACAGGAGAAGATGGTTCAGAGGGTTAAAAAGAAAAGATTTTGACAGTTGAGTACAGGAAAGGAAAGGGTGTTAGTGAAAGGTCATGATGATTTATTTTCCTTTCTTGAAAGTTGTGACTGATGGGAAAAGAGAGGGAAATCGGAGGCACTTAATTAATGCGTACATACAGAGAAAAGAAAACTGAAAATATTAGACACATAAGAATTAAAATTAACACATAGGTCCTAATTTTTATGATCAAGCGAAATAATACCAAGTAGTTCTCTTAGGGAGAAAAATCTATCTTCAAGTAAATGCTTAGTAAAAATGTCTGCTAGTTGATTAGTGGTGCCAACAAATGATAACTCTATATCTCCCTTAACGACATGATCTCTAATGAAATGATATTTAATATCTATATGCTTTGCCCTAGAATGATGCACAAGATTCTTTGAGAGATATATACCACTAGAGTTATCACAAAATATTTGAATAGGTTTAAAATATAGTTCATAGTTACCCACTTGGTGAGACATCCATAGTAACTGTGCACAACACTGTCCACTGGCAATATATTCTGCCTTAGTTGTGGATAATGCAGCTGAGCCTTATTTTTTACTGTTCCATGATATTAACGCCTTTCCCAGTAATTGACATGTTCCACTGGTGCTCTTTCTATCTTCCTTATCACCTGCAAGATCAGCATCTGAAAAATCTTCAAGCTTAAAATTGTTAGAATGTGGGTACCATAATCCATAAGAAACAATTCCTATGAGATAACGAATTGTTCTCTTTACTGCACTCAGATGTAATTCCTTAGGAGCTGACTGAAACCTGGCATATTTACACACACTGAACATAATATCTGGTCGACTGGCAGTAAAGTAAAGTAAAGAGTCAATCATTCCATGGTATTTAGTTTCATCAACTGGATTTTCTTTTTCGTCCTTGTCAAGATTTGTTGACGGGCTCATTGGTGTGCCAATTGCTTTAGCACTAATCACGCCAAACTTTTGAATTAATTCCTTTGTATATTTTGTCTAGCATATGAAAGTTCCTTCTTCAGATTGTTGAATTTGAAGTCCAAGAAAAAACGTAAGCTCTCCCATCATGCTCATTTCAAACTCACTTTGCATGAGATTAGCAAATTCCTTGCACAAAAGGGGGTTAGCACTTCCAAAGATAACATCATCAACATAGACTTGAATAATAAGATTACCTTCTGATGATCTTTTAATAAATAATGTAGTGTCTGCTTTACCTCTTGAGAAACCATTATCAAGTAGAAATGAGCAAGGCCTTTCGTACCAGGCTCAAGGAGCTTGTTTGAGTCCATACAGAGCTTTAGCCAACTTATACACATGGTAAGGAAATTTTGAGTCTTCAAAACCAGAAGGTTGTTTTACATACACCTCCTCATCAATAAATCCATTTAAAAAGGTGCTTTTGACATCCATTTGGAAAAGTCTAAATCTTTTGAAGGATGCATATGCAAGAAGAATTCGTATAGACTCTAGTCGAGCTACTGGAGCAAAAGTTTTATCGTAGTCGACTCCTTCCTGCTGAGAGTAGCCTTGGAATGCTAATCTAGCTTTATTTCGCACAACCTTTCCATCTTCATTCAATTTGTTTCTAAAAACCCATTTGGTTCCAACTACGGCAGCATTTGCAGGTTTGGGTAGCAGTTCCCTGACTTGATTTTTATCAAATTGACCGAGTTCCTCCCGCATTGCTTGTACACAGCTAGAGTCTTTTAATGCTTCCTCAACCTTTTTTGGTTCGATCTGAGAGATGAGTGCTACATTTGCCTTTTTCTTGAGAGCTCCCCTGGTTTTCATTCCTTCACTTGGATCTCCTATGATATATTTTTGAGGATATTCCGGTTCACTTCTCCACTCATTTGGACGTGTTCAAATTGTAGGAGTAGTTGACTCCTTCTGTGATTCTGGTTGATTGCTGACTAGTTCATTAGTCGACTCTGTAACAGCGTCTCTGCTATCAGTCGACTTTTATGATTTGCTTGTCTGTGATATTTCTTGGTTGATATCTTCATCACCTGCAACAATTCCTTTCTCGGTCATAGTGTTATTTTCATCAAATATGACATGTACTGATTCTTCTACATATAAAGTACGCTTGTTATAAACTCTAAATGATCTACTATTTATGGAATAACCTAGAAAAATACCTTCAACACTTTTTGGATCAAATTTTCTAAGATTGTCCTTACCGTTATTGTGAATGAAACACTTGGTTCCAAATGGATGAAAATAGCCTACGTTGGGCCGCTTACCTTTCCATAATTTATATGGAGTTTTCTTCAAGATAGGTCTTATAAGACATCTGTTGAGAATATGGCAGGCTGAGCTTACTGCTTCTTCCCAAAAATAATTTGGCAGGGAATGTTCTAATATCATTATTTTAGCCATATCTTGTAGAGTTCGATTTTTTCTCTCAACTACTTCATTCTGTTGAGGTGACCTTGGAGCTGAAAAGTTGTGAGTATATCCTTGATCATTACAGAAATCTTCAAATGCTCTGCTTTCGAATTCTCCTCCATGGTCACTATGGATTGTTGTAATAATATACCCTTTTTGTCTTTCAACTCTTTTACAGAAAATCTCAAAGTTTTTCAAAGCTTCATATTTATGAGATAAGAAAATCATCCATGTAAAACGTGAGTAGTCATCAATAATAATAAAAGGATATCGTTTTCCTCCAATGCTAGCAGTTCTAGTGGGTCCAAACAAATCTATTTCAAGCAATTGTAGGGGCTTGGTCGTAGACACAATGTCTTTGCTTTTGAAAGAGTTTCTGGTTTGTTTACCAATCTGACATGCATCACATACATGATTTCTAAAAATATTGAGTTTAGGAAGTCCAATAACTAAATCATGCTTGTAAAGTTTCTCAATTAGATGCATGCTTTCATGACCAGGTTTCTTATTCCACAACCATGGATCATCAGATATAGATGATAAGCAGATGTGACTATCTAAATTTTTAATGCCATCAAGAATATAAACATTTCCATACCTTTTTTCTAGAAGTATTATTTTACTTGACTCAGCTTCAATAGCGCATCCTGTTTTCTTGAATTTGACTTTATACCCTGAGTTACATAGTTGACTTATACTCAGGAGATTATAGTTGAGTCCATCTACAAGATATACTTCAATAATATCATAGTTGTTATTGAATGGAACTGTGCCGGTTCCAACTATCTTTCCTCTTGAATCATCACAAAATTTGACACTTCCTCCATTTATCTTAGTAACTTCTTTGAACAGGTTTTTGTCACATGTCATGTGACTGGAACACGCACTGTCTAAGTACCATTTTCCTTTGCGGCTCTTTCTGTGAAGTTCCTGCAAAATAGAATTATCACCTTCTTTTAGGTACCCAAGCTTGCTTAGGTCCTTGCTGGTTAGTACTACTGGAATCAAGCTTGTTTTTTGGTTTCCAAATCCATCCTGATACATTAGACTTATGAAATCTACAAAAAGAGTATTAATGTCCAGCTTTGTTACAGTAATGACACACATTGATTGATCCAGTTTTTGATCTATCACTTGTGTTAGTACTTGTGGACTCAGTTATAGCCTACCCTTTTCCAGTTGACTTGTAAGTTGCCTGGTTGGACTTGACGGAACTGTGACTGGTGGATTTGCGCATGCCATTCAATTGCATTTGCAATTCCTGAACCTCATTTTGAAGTACATCCCTTTGGATTTCACATACTTCAAGTTTGAGTTCCCAGTCCTTCTTTTCCCTATTGAGTCTTTTCAATTCATTCAACATCTTTTGTTACTCCTTTAGGGTGAGATCAAGAATATCTTGCAATTCATTATATCTATCACAGTTATAAGATCTTACCTTGCTTGTTTCACCTCGTGCCATGAAACAATTTTAGTATTTCCTTTGCTTTCATCGTCTGATGTGTCTTCATCAGTCCAGCATCTAGAGTATTTGTTCATATCATTTTCTAAAATTGTCATGAAGCACAAATTTGCTATTTCTTCATGTTCTGAGCTTTCTTCATCACTCCAGCTTCCGAAAGATTTGTTTTTGTTGAATCCTCTAGAGGTTTTTCTCTTAAGTTGAGGACATTGAGCCTGAACATGCCCATACCTTTCGCATTTATAGCATTTCCCATCATTCTTGTCTTGTTCATTATATTGCCTGGTTCGCCTGGACGACATCCTTCCCTTTTTGTATTTCTATACCTTCTTATTAATCCATTCATATTCCTTGATACCATGGCAATTTCTTCTTCAAGAGCTTCTAGATCGTCATCAATATCATCTTCAGGTACTTTAGTTATAGCCTTGAAGGCAACTGTTTTCTTCTTCTCTTCCTGATTTATTTTCTTGAGATGGGTTTTCTCGAACGCTATAAGATCTCCTCGTAATTCATCATATGAAAGTTTGTTTAGATCTTTGGATTTGAGGGCAACTACTTTTGTTTGCCATGTGGTAGGCAAACTCCTCAGAAACTTGATCACCACTTGAGTAGGGCTTTCCAAAGGCTTTCAGATCACCAAAGAATTTGCTAAATCTTGCAAACATTTCCTCAATGGATTCTCCTTCTTTCATCTGGAAGAGTTCATAGTCATGAACCAACATGTTTATCCTTGTTTCTTTCACTTTGCCGGTTCCTTCATAAGTAACTTCCAGTTTATCCCACATTTCTTTGGCAGTATCACAACTTGAAATCTTCTCGTAGTCTTCTCCACTTATAGCATTATAAACTAATTTTGATCCTTAGCATTAACATGAACAACAACTATTTGCTCATATGTGTATTTGTCTATATCCTCAGGATCAGCGGGAGGTTGAGCTGCTACAGGCAATGGGTTGTTTCCCTTTTTTAAGATACGCTATACCTTGACATCAGATTTTGCATAGATTTCCATGCATACTTTTCAGTGGGAGAAATGTTGTCCATTGAAGTATGGTGGCCTTACTTAAGATGTCCCTTTTTGAAATAGTTCTCCAATTGTTACTTGATTTTCCATGATCTTTTCTCACTAGCTGTTAAGCAAAAGATAAAAGTGTGAGACCGGCTCTGATACCAATTGAAAGTACAAGAAGGGAGTGAATTGTCTATTTTTAATTTCTGTATTCCAAGTAGTTGACTAGTTTACCAATTAGTCGACTAGAGATAAGACCAGAATAGTAATAACACAGAATTAAAGTGAAGGAAATAAAAACACCAGAATTTTATACTGGTTCGGATTTAATAGGAATCCTACGTTCAGTCCCCTTGGGTTGCAAGGGTGATCTCTTTCAGTATTTAAAGTTTCTCGATTACAAGATGGTTGATGTAGCTTTACACCAACAACTTAGTCTCTATGTCATTTTTACCTTTTTGATACAATGCCTCACCACTGTTTATCTCTTTTTCTTCTCTCACTAATTACACAGCAGAACTAAAAACAATTACAATGCTTGTTTGGAGTAGAACAAAAAGAGTGATAATGGTCCGTTCAAAGTATGTCTGCTTCAAGCCTGGAACAGATGTGTATATATATATACTTCGTGAGACCTTCTTGACTCTTGATTGATGTGAATCTTGAGAGATTACAAACCCAAGGGAGTTGATCCTTGAAACGAATCGTAAATTGATTCTTTCCAAGAATAATGTCAGGTTTCCGTTGATCTTCCTTGATTTTTGGCCTTGACAAGATTTTATTCCACTGGGCAGATCCTCTTGTTACTTGAGTGATTGACGATGGATCCCCTGATTTCGGGCTTTAACGATCTCCAGTGTAGAGCTTTGAAATCTTGTCTTCCTTTGATTTTGGGGCCTTCCTATAATAGCTTCCGTCAATCATCTATCTAATCATTGATTGATTCTTCTTCCAGATCTTCGTTGTTTCTTCCTTTTTCATCTCTAATCATTGATACTTTTACTTTTCTTTCCTTTTAGAGCTCCCGTTGATGGGTTGTTTCCTTAGTCCATAAGTGAGTGA